GTGAATTCCCGTCTCAGACCAAGAAAGCAGTTTCACGACGTAGGGCGAAATTGATCGGAATTATCACCTTCAGGCGCTGTTGCCTTAGGTCTGTACAGATTTCTACCTGTTTGACAATTTATATACTGGTGGCTACTTGCAGATGAAATCAGACGACTATATATATATATATAGTTATTATATACAGTATAATATTCGTATAATCATATACTGTATATATATCTATAATTATATAATATATATATATATTAAATTATATTAAATATATTATATAGTTTGCATCGAAGTTGCATGGAAGTTGCTGCCAGTGTTTCACCTTTGGCAGGACGCAGCTGAAGAGACCATTGACATCGAGTGGCAAGAACAGTGGATGGACTGCTCTCATCTCATACAATACCATGAAAAGGTAGTGCAGCCCCATGCAGCCCCTTTTTTTGTATCTCAACAAACGTATACAAACAATAGGAAACATATGGAAACATAATATAACATCCAAAATCCATATTAGCACTTTTTCTGCAAACCCATTTTCAGTCCGAAAAGAATGCCAGAAGAGTCAAGACAAATCGAACCTGCATCCTGAGATATCCCCGGTATCTTTCCTGTTCATGTTGCTTTCCTTCTCCATGTCTGGCCTTGCGAGTATGTTGCGAAGGATGCCAAAATGGAAGTCGCGCACCGTCTTCAAGCGGAAAATTTGCAAATCTATCGCGAAGGTCGCTTGACAATGAAAAGCTGCATCGGGCAGGGCATTTTCAATTCTGCAACTCCCTGGGCCATGGACGCCATGGAGCTCGTTTATTTGTTTCGCAGACTCGTCACATCGAAGAACCATAAAAGCTATACGTGTACCTAGGGTATGGTAAAGACTTGTTTCAACCGACCTCCTTATCTCTTCACCTCAAAGACTACAATCGGCTAGAGGCAGTTTCTGTTACCTGTTACAGCCTACATTGGATTCAAGAGTGTCATCACAATCATCGGCTTGAACAAATTCGGGTTCATCAAAGGTCAGGGGATACTCGTAGGTAGAAACAGGTGGAAACGTATTCTATATGCTGCATATGCTTGATGATTTTGTTGTTTCACGCCATGAAGCCTGCAGTTGTGCTCATTTCTTCCGCAGTCAGCTGTGCCAAGGTAGAGACTTCACGATCAGAGACAACTCGAACAAACTGTTGCAGCTGTGGGACGATCATGGCATGGTCCCCTATCTTCTCCGGAAGTGGGACCGCACCGCTGCTGCCATCAGCATAAGTTGTTGATTTCTGCGGCACCGAATTGAGATGTTTCCCTATCATGGGCAAGAACATGCAAAAACTCAGGGGCCAAACAAAACATTCCAGTTCTGTGCGCACATGTGCGCACGCGCACACACACACACGCAGATTGTGTGTACATATGTGTATCTATCATAGGTATTCATAGGTATGATTTGCGCTATGAACAAAACGTCGATACGTTGCCGATACTGGGGGATGGTCATCAATCCGTTGACATTGATTTATATTGTACGTACCCATTGTAAATTGATGTAAATTGTATGTATATATTCCGGACTATCCGGATGGACGACCATACCACAAAGACAATGTTTTGACCCTGGCACATATGTATATATGTGTGTGATTGTGTGTGTGTGATCTATTACGACATGTACTACAGACGTTTGTGATTGGATAGAGATCATCGTGGTAGGTTGTGATGTTTGGTGCATTTTACACCCCGTGATAGCAATTTGTGAAGCTTTGCGTTGCAGGAGAAGAAGCATGTGCTCACCAAGGAAAACTTCCCACTGAAGGTCCACGTTCACAAGGCCCATATTTTCATCCAAGCGACATTTGCAGCAGAGCAAGTCAAGGCAAATTCATTTAGCAAATTCTAGAGAGTCTTCAATTTTGCCAAATCGTTTTCCAAGTTGTTCTCGAAGTTGTTCTCGTGTGCCAAGCCTTTGACTACTTAGAACATCTCAGAAGTATGGGTGTGCGCATGTGGCCAAATTTTGTTTGCATGCCAACCCGTCCGGCACAGGAGCCGCCGCTGGTCAATGACTTGATAGCCTCTAGGTTGCGCTGTTTCATTTTCTACGAAGTCGGGTCAGAGTTCCATGCACCACGTCGTTGCACTTTCCAAAATAAGGCACACATCCTGGTCGCAGGTTTTTGATTTCTGGCTCAACAAAACTTGCCCATCCCAAATCAAGCATGTGAGCTAGTGCAGCAAAGTGTTGCTAGTAATTAGCCTCACGGCTTTACATCACTAAACACTCGGCCTATCTCACTGCTCCGGTGCCATCATTGTAGATCGCTTGATCGTTTGGTGATTTGCTTTTACCACCGTGCCATCCGTCCACCTTTCAGATCTTTCAGCTGAGGAGCCAGCCATCCTCGCGGTGAAACGCACCAGTTCCTCCACTACTCCGACTACAGCTGGTTCCCCTGAGCATCTTTACGCACGTGTTGACAGTAGCGACCAACTGTTGCAGCTGCAGCTCCCCTGATGTGCAATGCATTGCGACATTTTGTAGACCATGCCGGACCATGCCAATGTGAAATGCATTGCGATACTTCCAATATCTTTCAATCCTGTGACTGGATAGACAGTGTGATGAGTCATCAATATACAGATACAATGAATACAAGAGCTTGACAGATGGTTAGATGGATTCGATAGGATAGCTAGATATGATATATATATATGTCAAAGGGAACGTAGTAATAGCATACAAACAATTCATGCATGGGACGCCACTATGGCTCAAGGCTCAAGACCCCACGCGTGAGCAAAATAAGTGTTCGCCGTCCGCCATGATTAACGGGTCCGGGAACTACCAGTGAAACAGGTACCACTTGAGCAACTATAACATCCGGAACAAGGATTCATTTGTTCACAGGTTATCAGCCGTAGGGCTCACTTCTCCCGCCGGGAGAGTGGTACCTGCGTGCTGGTAGCCGGGCCTTCTGAGCAATTGATTGAGGACGCAAAGGACCAATCAGCTCATCATCGCAAAGATGCAAGGCGGCAGCGGAGATTCGCGCACCACGCAGTTTACCTTCAATGAGAACACTGCCATGCCGGTCGAGGAGGTCAATCAATCTTCCCCTGGTGACACGGCAGACAGTGGTGGGATACGCTCTACCCGAACTACACAGTCCGGATGGCAAGTCACGTCAAACAGACGAAGGATATCCACCCAAAGTACACCAAGATCTTCTCGAAACAGTGCTCGAAGTGATGTTGTCCGCCAAGGGCATCGACCATCTCGAGGACGAACTACTCCAAGGGACAGATCCACCAGGGCCGTGACCGACCGAATTGGTGAGAGGACCGGGGATAGTCGTGTTAAGAGGAGATCAACGGATACTTCTGTGGCTAGTGAACCTATTGCCATGATAGAAGAACTACGGGCACAATGTCAATCCCTACGTAATCAGTTGAACCACCTGGAAGCATACGCTGCATCTAGAGATCAACTGATTCATGACATCGAGATCAGATTCACTGAGTATCTTCAGGAACACAACCAAAATGTATTTGATGAGGTCAATGCACTCAATCATAGATTGTCATGTTCCGCAAATGAGGTTGCAGAATATCAAGCAGAACTAATGGTAGCATCTCAGGAAGACGAAGGTGCAACAATACGCATCCAAGACCTTGAACGCCGAGGTGCCCTAATGGAACATGGTGCACGACGTATCCATCAACGTGGTATGGAGATCCAGGAGGAGTACAAGGATGAAGTACATCACCTTCAAGGACTATTGGGTAATACGGAGGCAAGACTGCAACAACTTCATCAAACCAATGTCTTAACCACCGATATTGCCAATCGACTATACAATGAAGGTCAAGAAATGCAGACAGATTTCCAGAACTCAATCATGGAATATCGTAATCGATCCGAAATGGCATCCTTCTCTAGCAATCAACTTGAAGTGATTAGCCAACAACAATCAATTGCAGTTCATGAATTATCTGAACGGAATCAGCTATTGAGTGAAGCTTTGGTTCAGTCTCGTAAACAGGCCGAGCTGTATGAAAGCAGTATTGACGAGATCACTAGAGAATCTAGGAAGAAGGTATTCGAGGCAAATCAGGCCAAATTGGAAAGTGATCTGAAGCATCGAAACACTGAACATGATACCGTCAGAAGAATTGCATCATACAGGAACCAAGAGGCCGAAGCAATATCACACCTAAGGCTTGAATCACAGGCTAGTGCAAACTCGATCGCAAGGGCAGAGCACTATGAAGAGCTCTATGCCAACGAGCAGGAGATGAACTGCGAATTGAAGGATGAGATCAAGTTGCAGAACACGAAGTTGCGAAGATCGTTGACTCAGGGTACTACGACCGACGGTCGTGGCCCCGATGAGATGCTTGTTGAAGATCTACGTAATCAAGCCAAAATCGCTCAAATCAGGGTTCAGGACCTAGATCATGAAGTTCATGAATGTTTACAAGAGAACATATTGTTAAAAGAGAGATTGGCTGAAGTTGCGGATGTAGGGGCGTCGTCCCTCACCAACGCTGAGGTCCGAACTCTAAAATCTGAACTAGAGAGTGAGCGCAAAATGAAGTTGGCTAGTGGTGTTCAACAGTATGAGAGATCATGCATGTTCATGGGGGAAATCCAGGATAGGGATGAAAAGATCGGCATCAAGAATTCTGAGATTGTTGACATGAAACGTCACTTAGATGAACTGAGAAAGAGTCTCAAGGATTCTGAAACATCTATATCTAGGGTCAGCCCTGACACACTTCCCTATTCGGCAGGCATTCCCAACTACGATCTCGCATCAAGACTAGTCATCGACAAACTGGAGAATGACGTGAGTGAGGCTAACTGTGAAAACGCTATTCTGAAATCTTGGGTTTCGCAGATCGACAAGGAGTTGAACTATGAGACAAATATGGCTCATTCCTATCGTGAACATGCTGTACCTTCTCAACGACAACCTTCTCAATCAAGCAAAAGAATCACTGATCTGCTGAAAGAGGTTGACAACAAGATCGCTGATGGAACTGAGAGGGACTACTACAAGCCACCGAGTGGATGGGGCGGTCCGCCTGACCCTGATGGACCTCCTGATCCTTTCGGGCCTAACGGTCCAGGACCACCTCCTGAACCTCCAGGTTTGCCTTCAGTTCGAGGATCACAACGCGATTCAGCAGATGATGTCTCCACAGCGGCTTACACTGCAGAAGAAGTGCCGAGAATGTCAAGACGGGAGGCTGACAAAGTCTATGTTAGCCCATGGCCGAAGCAACAGAATCTTGGGGTTTGGCAATCAGATCTTATCAAGAGTGTTGTTCTTTCTGCAAATGATGGGGACAAAGCCGCATGGGAGGCATGGCTACAGCCGGCTATTCGACCAAATCCTGACATCGAGCTATTAAATGACAGTGGAGGGCAACGGTATCAGTCCATCGACGCCAAGTTGTCAATTGCATTGTCAAACGTGATAGCCCAAGCCGGCGATGTTGCTCGTCATGTAGCGATCAAATTGAGATTGAGAACACAAAGTCATAGTCGAAAAGGAACCTATGTCATGGGACGGGAAATCTTGGCTATGATCCTGGAGCACTTCAGAACCCCAGGTCAACGAGAGACAGCCTTCACCATGGAGCACATCGTATCGATGAAATATCTCGGTGACTCAAACCTGGAAGTGTTCTATGAGAAATGGATGGAGATGGTGTCGAACATGATGCCGGATGATGTACCTCCTGATGATTGGCTTCGTGACGCTCTATACAAGAAGATTCGAAATTCGAGTCTTATGATGTTTGACATCAAGCAGTACGAGTCATGGATTGAAGGAGACCAAAGACGAAACTATCGCTATCTATTGGATGTCATCGAAAGACACATCTCCAGAATCAGAGAGGACAAGCATGTGGCCGCTAGAGAGAAGTATGCAAGAGACTTTGCAGGTGGCGGCAAACCTACATCTCCTGCCCCAAATCCAACTGCTGCTGCACCGGATGCAAATCCAAAAGCGAAGCCTAAAGCTACTCCCAAGGAGAAGGCAGCACCCAAGGCGAAGGCCAAGGCCGATGCAGCTCCAGTTCTACCATCACCTCAGCCTAAACAGCATGCAAAAGGAAAAGGGAAAGGTCAAGGGAAAGGAAAGGATCGAGCAAACAGCCGAAGTACCAGCCCTAGATCCAAGAAGAAGATCCCATGCCATTTCCATTTCATCAAGAAATCATGCAGGAAAGGCAAAGATTGTGAATATAGTCATGATCAAAAGGTGTTCGATGCGAACAAGAACGCAAAAGGGAATGGTCGGAAGCCAGGAACTCCAAGAAGTCAATCTCCGGCAAACAAGACCAAGAAGGTTGACGAACCATGCTGGCATTGGGCTAAGGGCAAGTGTCGGTATGGAGACAAATGCAACAAACGCCACGATCCTCATCTATTCAATACTGCTCCGAACACCGAAGCATCAGGCTCAAAGGCTACTCCTGCACTTATCCATGATTGGAGTGATGATGAAGAGACGTTCCATAAGGTTGCATCGAACGTGGTCAAGAAGAAGGTCAGATTTGATGAGTCTAAGACTCACGTTCAAACTTACGTAAAGAAGGACTTCGTGAAGTGCAGCCGGAAGTCCCAAACAATCTCCAAAGGTCATGGTAAAGTTGGTAAGCCCACTGATCAGATAAGGAAAGATGAACAATGGTCTTATTCATGCAGGTTAGCGTCGAGCCGAGGGAAAGCAATGGCTATTCTGATCGATGAGAAGGGTGAACACAGTGACATTGATGAAGTCCTGGTCATCGTCGGCCCTAGCATGGACATTCTGATCAGACTCGACATCGAGGACGGTGAGGTGTCCAGGGAAGTTTTTGTGGAGAACTATGTTCAGCATATTGAAGGTCGATATGGTAAAAGGGGCAACACAATGTGTATCACTGTTCCTGTTGAGGAGAGAGACAAGAGATTCATATTGGATTCTGGAAGTGGTCATGATCTCATTTCATCCACACGAATAAGTAGGATGGATCTCCCAACATATGATGACAAGGTCGTCAACTTCCATACAGCAAATGGGGTGACATGTTCGACCAAACGTTCAAGCATCAAGTTCGAGGCATTCAGTGAACCAGCAGAAGCTCACATCCTGGAGGACACACCTTCCGTGCTCTCCATGGGAAAGCGATGCGTTGATCTTGGTTACTCATTTGTATGGCCGACTGGAAGAACTCCATTCATGTTAGATCCCAATGGTGACATCATCGAGATGACCGTCAAAGACTACATTCCCTATGTGAGCGTCGATCAAGAGAAGAGAAAGTTGAAATCATCTTGTGTGGAAAAGATTATGGCAGTTCTTGACGATGGATGCTCAACGTCGGAAGGCGAAGGTCTTTTGGTCATTGATGGAGAAAGTGGGGATGAGCTTGAGGATCTTTCCGACTCCGTTGGACGATCCGATGTTAAATCTCCCAAAAGATCAATGAAGAAACGTAAGAAAGCAAAATTAAGAG